GCAGGTCCGATCTGATTGACGCTGTGTGTCACAAATGTGACAGACGATTGAAATGCTTGGCTAGGTTTATTGCTAGCTTACCGTTGACCAGGAACACTGAACACATCTTGTCCTGTTTGCAAGGTTTCCAGGGTTTACGTAGGCCTTCCATGGCTAGAGATAAAGAGCTTTGTGTCCGTACGGCTCTGCTTTCCCAACTGGTTAGTTTCTTTGTTCCTGTATAGCGCGCGCCTCGTGCCCGCTGGCAAACAAAGAACACGCAAACAATATTTGCTCACACGGGTAGCAGCTTGTGACTGGAGTCCATCGTGCGACTGTTGGTTATCAGGGTCTAGTTGTTGACTTTGGGTTTCTTGCACGGCCCCCCTCCTTCCCACCACACCCACTGATCTCCAGCACCCCACCCTTTTGACCCGCTGAGCAAACCCTTTGCTGGAGGTGCTGGGGAGACGCTGAAAATTAAGGGGTACGCTTTTTGGACCCTTATGTTCAGCTCTCGGAGAGCTAATGCGGGGATGTTGCAGGGCCAATTGCAGGCGATTACGGGAACCTGGGGGGGGTCTGGGAATCCAAGGCGGGGGGGTCTAGGAATCCTTAAATATTACCCCCCCCCCCCGAATTTAAGGAATCTGGGAACCCTTAAATACAACCCTCCCCCCCGAATTTAAGGAAGGCGGGGGGGTCTGGGAATCCTTAAATACACCCCCCCCCCCCCCGAATTTAAGGAATCTGGGAATCCTAAAATACAAACCCCCCCCCCGAATTTAAGGAAGGTGGGGGGGGGGGTCTGGGAATCCTTAAGTACAACCCAAGATACCCCCCTCCCCCCCCCCGAAAAACAACCCCCCCCCGAATTTAAGGAAGGCATCCTTAAAAACAACCCCCCTCCCAAATCCCTTCAACTGCCCCCTACCCTGTTTGCAGTGCCAGCTGTGGCACATCCCCCCCCCCAACCCATCCCCCCAACCCCCCTCCCCTGCCAGCATCCCCGCATCCCTCGGCACCCGCCCCCCTCTATTGTTTGCGGTCTTCTCATTCCCCACCCCGGATCGCGCTCGGATCGCGTGATATGGCCTCCGAGTCTGAGACGCACTCTAAGTGCAACATTCCAGCGCTGAAGTGCATCCCACATCTTGAAATTCAGAGGGGGCAAGGGGAAAACCTTAAGTGCACCCCCCCAACCCTTAAGTACAACCCAAATTCCTTAAATACAGGGGGGGGGGGTTGTATTTAAGGCTGGGCACCCTTCTTGAGGTATGAATTTCATTTAAAACAATGAAAAAACATCGTGTTTATTGAAATCCATACCTTAAAATCAGTTGTTTTGAGGTATACTTTTGCAAAAAAAAGTGTTGTTTCTCTTTTGTTTAATGAAATCCATACCTCAAGAAAGGCGACCAGCCTTAAATACAACCCCCCCCCCTGTATTTAAGGAATTTGGGTTGCACTTAAGCATCGTAGGGTTGTACTTAAGGATTTTGGGATGTACCTAAGAGCATGGGACTGCTTTGATTGTTTTCCGGCTACTTAGTCAAGCAAAAGATTGACATGCCAGCTTTTTTTGGTTCGCCACCTCAGTTTGAGCCTCAACCATGGATTCGTCTCCGCCAGTACCCGACTCTCCCACACGGACTGGGGATGGCTCACCCGACTCACCCAGCAGTGATTGCTCGTCAGTCGCAGTGCAAATGCTGATTTGGGAGATGAGCCTAGCAGCGCAAATTCGGGAAATGAATCTGGCAGTGAAAATGCCAATTCGGGAAATGAGTCTGGCACCGACCCAAGTGAGGATGCGCCCGACACACCCGCCAAGCCTCGTGAAGCCTTGAAAAAGGCCAGGGTGACCAAGGCGAAGCCACCGTCCACCTTGACAAGTGATACACTGATGCGCATGGCATCGCAAGCAGACCTTGAGGCTTGGTTTTAAGGGGGAAGTGGGAGGAACAACCTCGCCGTGTTGACCCACACAAGGTTCAAACATATGTGTGCCCTAACAATGTTCAAGGTCCAATTGTGTAACCCTGAAGGATGACAATGAGTTGCCCCCTGGACCATCATCGCTGAAAGGGCTATTCGAATGGCCTGAACGAAATGCCCGCATCTTGGCGGCTGTCCCGGAATTTATCGATGCTTTCAAGGCGCTTTCTGCCCATGACATCCTGCTGTTTGACTCATATAGTGGGACTGGGAATGGATCATCAAGCTTCAAACTCCAGTACAATGCGTTGGCGGCTGCCACAGGCTTGGTCTGAACAATGCCACTTGTTGGAGCTCAGTGATTTGGTTACCGTTACCGTTTGCCAGCGGTTAGACTTTGCTGCTGGGGCCAGGTGTCCACATCCGGCACACATCTGTGAGAACCTGTACAGCATGCGACCGAGACACCACCTGCCAGCAGTTCATCAAGAGCCTCAATCAGGCTGGGTGAATGAAGCTGGTAGTGTCAACCTGTGTCGTTGAAGCTGTGGCAGGCATATCAGCCAGAACACGTGCTGACCGACCTCACCTTGCATGTGACGTCAGAGTGCCGAGAGGAACTGTTCAGGGCACGTGCTGCCATCCAGGGCCAAATTGAGTGGCAAATGCGACACTTGATGGGCGCAGTAAGTTTTCTAATGTTTTGACCAACATTTTAGACCCTGCATCAGCCATCTTGATGAGACCCAATGAAACGCGTGCGCCCAGGATTGCACGAAATCGTCCCATTGTCCCGGGAAGAGTTGGAGTTGAAAGCCAACATGGGCCAAACGCTGATGAAAGACTACATGGATATCCTCAGTGAGAACGGCGTGTTGGAAACCCACGCTCGATGTGTCCGGTGCAATCAGGCCAGGCTTGGGGGATAGAGGTGAATCGCTGGAGGGTTGGACCAATGTTGATTACACTCAACACCTTTCCCATTCACCTGCAGGACTGTTTGACACCTTATGGTCATGCCGTGGCACTGGAGTCAGCGACATCACCCGGCCCCATCCGGATCCACGTTGGCGGGAGTACCTGCACAGATGTCTCAAGCATGGGATGCTTGTATGAATCAGCGCGTGTCACATGCCCATTGTAACTACACACCCTCTTGCGCCCAGGTCTCCGTGCATCACTGCTAGGGGACTCATCTCTCCCGTTAGCTATATTTCTGACTGAGATCAAACGCTGCGCCCCAGCACGGCCCTGAGTTGAGTTCGCATTAGTGGCATTGAGTGAGTGTTGCTTGCTTGCTGCTGCTTCTCTCGTGCGTGATTCCTACTCAGGAGGTGGTGGTGCACGAGTGCACGTCGTATTTCGGGCAACACATATTTGGTGAATATCTGGAAGACTATACGGTACATCGGTTCGAGGCACCAGACGGCGCCAACCCTGACCAACTATCAACGTTAAGCGCAGGGTTCTCTTCAGGCACATGGCTTCTATCGCCACACCAATTCTCGTGGCCAGTTTTTCGCCCAAGGCGGGAATCACGGGGGCTGAGGTAGTTGCATGTAACGTGATCACGTTTGCTGTCATTGGCTCCAAACAACTTGATGCTTGAACACACATTGAGCCCTGACAGTCTGACAGCCCTGACTCCTTGTATTTCTGAGGGCAGGGTGAAAGCGGGTTCAGCGCAGGTAGGAACGCAAGATGCAAGCCGGGTTCGTTTTTCCCCTGCAGACTTTACACGGTGCTGGTGCACAAAGAGAAGGCACGCTTGGATCCGGGCGCCTTGAAAGCCATCCAACTGCTGTATGCAAAGCCATCCCTGTCCGCCGACAGCCTGTTCTGTGCGCCTGAGGAGTCTCAGTTTTCAAAGTGACTGTTTGCTCTGACGAACGACTCGCATGTTTGAGCTTCACTAGTCTGCCATGATGCCACAATGTTTTCGCCAGGATGCTATCCAAGCGGAAAGAGCTCGACAAGCGCACCGACCCAAGCGGTCATTGAACTCCAAGTTCGTGGATTTGCTTGGGGGGGCAAAACCCCTATGGGTGCAGAAGTATCGGGCGGCGACTAAAGTTCGCAAACACTTCAAGTCGGGCGCCTCGGCTCAATTGGTAACTTTGTGTTCACTCCCGGCCCCCACAACACCCCGACAAAGGTCAAATGACCGAACTTGAAACCTAGGAGCCCGATGCGTGATCGCCAATATTACACAAAATCCCTCTTCGAGACCCATCGTGGCGAAACACCTTCCGACGCTCCTCAAAGCGAGCCTCATGTGGAAACTCTATGCCCCTGCTGTGCACGACCAAGAGGAGCGGTACCTTTTGGGCCAGGCGCGCGGGGTCTCGGAGTCTCGCAACTTTCTAGCTTTGTGCATCTTCTCATGCTTAAGATTTACCATGATCTCAGCCACAGGAGCATTTGGTGTCCATGGGCGTACCCGTCTACGATTGGCTGAGCAGCTCATCAGCGCACCAACCGTTTTGCCGGTGGTTGCCATCGGACACTCAACAGCGTAAGTTAGCTGGCAATGTGACTTGGATTGTATGAGCTTGCCTCACAGCAGCACATGTGACCACAAAAAGACCCAACACGTGTCTGGCGTTGGCAATACTCTGAGGCCATGCACTCTGCAGTGGTGGGATCTGTCCACGGCATCCTGATGGTGTCGCTCAAATTGCGGGGCCCGTGCTAGCGTGAGAGCTGGTGCAGTTAGAGGTTGTCACACTGCGATTTTGGCAACAGGGTTGAAAGACTGGCCACCCTTCGCAATAACATCGGTGTGTTGACTTGACTTGACAGGTTGAATTCTCCGTCTTCGACACTCATGTCTTTGGTCTCCCTAGGTAGTCAGTGCAGCGACTGCCAGAAACCTGACAGCACAAATCATGCCGTCAACCAGTGCGTTGACTGGGCACTTCATGTCCAAAACTTGATTGCTGACCGCTTTCGTTGTGTTTGACACGTGTGCAACACCACCAAATCATTTTACCTGACTCGTAATGCATTGTTGTCTGCTTGAACACAGGCCTGCCAACACGCAATGTGGCATGTTCGATTGAGCCATTTTGGTCAACTGGTGTAGCTGCCCCTGCATTAGACTTGGACATTTTCCGGGCGAGCATCATCCATGGCTGCTGAAGAAGCAGTCCTGACTGTTCGCATGGTTGATTGTGCCGTATGTGGGGTCCAGACTATGCACAAATCTGGCAAGCTACTCAGCTGCGCATCAGTCTTTGGCTTGATGACTGTGAACCAGCTTTTTTTGCTGACCTGTGGCGTTGCTTTATTGAGGCTCATCCACCTCTGTATGCAACACGAAAAATCCCGGAATGCTTTCATGGAGCAGTCCAACCGGGCAGGCAAGCACCAAATGGTGGTGGATCTAGAGCGCTCAGAACCGAAGCAATTTTTAGAGTTTTTGTCAGCCTTTGTGGATTCGCAGCTTGGACGCATTGCCAACCCCCATCCTTGGGGAATCAATGCGCTCAGTGTTGAATAACAAGGGTTGGTCCATACTTGAATCATACTTGCATCAGTTGTTTCATCCCCACCCCCTTAAAGGGGTGGGGACGTCTGGAAATGTAATTTGCATTTTCTGGGGTTTGCCACCTTAAAATGTAAGGGTTACATTTTTGGCCGCTGGTGGCCACATCCTTGAGCATGTCAATCACCTTTCTACGTGCCCAGGTATCAAGTTACATTTTCTCCCCCCCCCCCCCACCCAAACAAAACGGAAATATACACCTGGGGTGGGGTCCGCTTACTTTTTTTTGAGGGGGGGGAGGGGGGTGATTTTCGGACACTAACGGGGCGGGGATGTTGTTTCCTCATCTAAGGCAACAAAAAGGTCGTGGCCGCCCGAGCCAAGATCGATCACGGTTCGACTGGACCAAAGTCAGCGTCAGCGAGGTGTGTTCCAAGGGGCAACGTGTGGAGTCCCGGACAACACAGGTTCCACTGTGCTACAGTGACTATCTCGACTACTATGTCAACCATGCGCCTGCGTATCAGCGCGCCTTGTCCTCATCCAGTGTCAGGGGTGTCGTTCCTTAGATTGTCACATTAGAGCTGAGCGTCGGCGTCGTCCAACCGGAACTCAGGTTTGACCACGAAAGGAGCGGAAGCCAAGTGGCGAAAGGATTTCCACGATCCCAGCCGATCAAGGTTCCAGGAGAAAAAGCTGGGGCAAGATGGTGAGTGGACTGGGGAGCTTGTGGTGGGCCTAGGTGGATCAATCAACATTTGTCAGCTACACACATACTGGCACATTGGCATTCCAGCATGCCAAGGTTTGGGTCATGTACGTTGACAAGCCTGCGGAAAGATCGAGTGCCGCCTATGAGGACAGTCGAACAGTCAAACATCTCGATGATATTCTACATGTGCCTCTGCCCTCCCCCCCCCCCAAACAGTCAAATGACGGAAGGACCGATCGGTGGAGATGAAGAAGACTGTGGACACTAAGAACACGTCAGATGCCAACATTGACAGCATGGAATCACGAATGCGTAGTGCTGCCAGCAAACTCTTGGACGACGGTGTCTTTGCCCCGTTATTCATGATGAAAACCCTATCGTTGATGTCACGCCTATGACTGGTCTGATTCCCCTCCCGACAGGAAGGGGTTGTTAGATTTTATGTTGGAATCCGCGTTTGCGATGCTTCTACACCACGCTCCCACTAAGTATCCCGCCAGAGCAGCTCGCCAGTGGATCCCGCCGAGTATCCCCGCCGAGTATCCCGCCAGAGCAGCTCGCCAGTGGATCCCGCCCAGTATCCCGCCAGAGCAGCTCGCCAGTGGATCCCGCCCAGTACCCCGCCAGAGCTGCCCGCCAGAGCGGCTTGCCAGTGGATCCCGTCCAGTATCCCGGCAGAGCTGCTCGCCAGTGGATCCCGCTGAGTATCCCGCCAGAGCAGCTGGCCAGTGGATCCCGCCCAGCCGAGTATCCCGCCAGAGCGGCTTGCCAGTGGATCCCGCCGAGTATCCCGCCAGAGCGGCTCGCCAGTGGATCCCGCCGAGTCCCACCAGAGCAGCCCGCCGAGTATCCCGCTGAGAATCCCAGAGAAGCTCGCCAGTGGAATCCCACCAGAGCAGCCCGCCAATGGATCCTGCCAAGAATCCCGCTGAGTATCCCAGAGTAGCTCGCCAGCGGATCCCGCTGAGTATCCCGCTGAGTATCCTTTGCCGGTGGATCCTCCAGTGGATCCCTCCAGTATCCCGCCAGAGCAGCTTGCCAGTCTGGTTTTGCTTAATGTCCAAAAGGGCCGATGGGAATTTGGAGTCGAAGTCTCTAGGATGCGGAGGAATTTGTTGTAACGGTCGTAAGCTCGCGAGTGTGGAGGGTGGGGTTTGCTCGAAGCGAAGTATTTTGATTCTTTGTAGTTCGTATTGATCATCCAAGGTGCTCAGTGGGGAAGCTTCGCTAGTGCAGCTGTGCCTGCTGGCTCTGGACCTTCAGCACAGTCCAAAGCCAAAGCCAAACCCAAGGCAGCGATCAAGAAAACCAAGTGCCCAATTGCAACGGCAAGTACGCTGCGACGATCTACACTGCGGAGCATGAATGGGCTGGAGGGCGTTTTGGCGTCCGCAGAAACCAGTGCTTCTCGTATCCTGGACGAGGCTGGCCTGCCGACTCACCTGAATGAAGGACACTCATCCCTGTGTCATCGCATGCGGCCCAGGTGCGCCAAGAACTAGGAGATGAGAGCATCTTGAACGACCCAGCTCTGCAACTCGTCCAGCACCGTCTGCATGCAGCGCCTGCGCTGCACATCAGTTACCACTGCCAAACATGTCGTTGTCTAGTCACTTGTGTTTGGGTGACAGTTCCGTGGGCGACTTGCACACTACCGGGTGGAAAGAGTCGAGCCCGGGTCAGGTGCAGTTGGCCTGCAACAAGTCCGTTGAGCCTGAGCAGTTCAAGGTGACTGACGCCGCCATCTACGACATGATGAAATCTGATACCCACTTCTCAAGCTTGCCGGAGGGCCTTTGTGCAGAGGAAATTCAAACCCTCGGCCACCTTCTTCACACCAGGACCTTCTGCGACCTGCTGCCCTCGGCGTCCGCTGTGGAAGAAGCTTTCGAGGTTCATCGGCGATCGCTTGAGGTGATGCACTCGCTGGGTAAGAGCCTCGCCTGTGCTGCGGCAGAGTGGAAGGCAGGGCGCAGGGCGCTACAGAAGGCGAAGGAGTTGGAAGCACGTGCCATGGAGAAGGAGAAGGAGAGGGCCGAAAAGGCCAGGCAGAAAGAGGCAGAGCGGCAGGCCAAAAAGCAGCAGAAAGAGGCAGAGGAGGCAACGCAACAGCAGCAGCAGCAGCAAGGCCAACCAGCCGACAATGCTCACGCTGGCCCAAAGAAGCGCAGAGTTGCCTCGAAACTTGCTGCTGAGCTCACCGACTCAGACTACAGGGTCCTGAGGGAACGTTTCCCCGACAAGGAGATTCCTGTTGTTGATTCAGTGGCCACTCGGCCACTGCAATTGTCTGAGCATTTTCACGCGGTTGACTTGTTCTGACACGGCAAGGTTCCCAAACAGATCCATTTGTATGCTTTTCAGGCAGCTGCAGTGTCGATGATTTCGGAGAACCACGTGTCGATTGCCCGGATGAAGAGATCCCTGCTGAAGAGGGTCTTGCAGGCTGGTTTGGCTGAATAGCTGGTTGAGTTGCGGAGTTCAACTTACGCTTGTCAACTGGCAACCTTCACCAGTGCCCTTATTGGTTCTAGCTAGCAACCCATCCCTCCCCAGGACCGACTAGGCCCAACCCTTGAGGCGCACGAAGTGGAGGATAAGGCTGCCAACTTGTGGGCCTCTTCAGCTGGTGCCCAACTCAGGACGTTCACGGCAGAAGCAGCAACCCTCTGGCTCGCTGAGCCAAACCGTGTCAAGATGGTCAAGTTCATGGACCCTTGCCCGTATCCGGCCGAGTTGTCGTGGGATGCACTGATCCAGACCTGCCTGGACCAGAATGCACGCGTCACTTGGGCAACCGTAGTATTGTTTCGGGCAAGCTCCAAACCTGACAATGCCAACCTTTTGTTCTATTTTATTTTACATCCCAATCCCAGGTGAATCGTGCATCTATCCCAGTCCCAGCCATCGTCGCGGACGGTGACACACTCAGACAGAGGGTAACAGCGGCAGCCCGGGGTGAGCCCATTACCCCGGCGGACATCGACGCGCTGGTCTCAAAATATGTCACACCAGTGATGTTTGGGGCAAAACATGGGAGCAGCAGCACTGGGCTGGGTAGCGGAGGCTTGGGCACAGTCCAATATCAGAACGACGGAACCCGTGTGCTGGCCGTCGTCCTGTTGAGCGACCTGCTTGCCAAAAGCCAACGCTTTGACCTTTTGGCTTCCCTTTTTGAATCCATTTGCAGTCAAGGCCCCAAAAGGTTACCTTTATTTCCGGGTATTTCTGGGTCCTTTTCTGAGGCGAGCTGATGGACGCAGTCCCCGACAACACGACCATGGAGGACCAAAGTTGCACATTGGGGGTTTCCCGTTTTTGAAACAACCATATATATATATATATACATATATATATGTATATATTGATAAAACTGATACGATATTGACATTGATATGACTAATGACTTTGTGACTTTGGTTTTTGAGGACCCTTTTTTGTTGGGGGGGGGGGGGAGTTCAAAAAGGACATGCTCGGCTCGGCCCGCTTTTTTTCTGATGATTTGACAATGGACATACGGGTGTCTTTTTTTGGAGGGTGCCCTTTCTAGGACTAGGACTGGACTTGGACTGGTTCTAGGGCCGGGCTGAAAGTGAAAGAGCTCAAAGCTTTTATAGAGAGAAACCAAAAGGAAGCAACCACTGTTTTCGACACAGCCTACGCCGTTGCGCAGGAGGCGCTGCAACTCTTCCAGCAGCTATCTCCTGAAGATGCCCTGCTGAACAAGCTCAGTTCGTTTGCAGTGGGATGTGCCCTTGCAGGGGACATCATCACGGTCCCAGCAGGGATGCTGGTGGTGGAGAAAAGTGTGAACTCGAACACGTTTGGTGTGCGATCCGTGTTGCACCACCTCCACATGGAAAGCCTTCCATCCCTCCTTACACTGAATGATTGCCTGACAGGGAGCCTTGCCCGCGCTTCAGCACACCGTTTTCATGGGTCTGTAGTTGGAACTTAACCTAGCACTTGTACATAAAACAGTGGTTTCACCCTCCTCATTCCAATTTGTGCTGCGAAGGAACCCATTCACCACCTTTGCCATTGGCCTGTTGGAGGGTATGGCGTCTCATTGGAACCAACAACCCCGTGCAGTGCGGGATCAACCCAACCAGCAGCAGCCCCAGCCAGCCGATGAGAATGCGCAGCCAACCACACCTGTCCAGCCACTTGATGAGGGCGCTCAGGCAACCACACCTGTTCAGGAGCAGCAGCCAGATGAGGGTGCTCAGCCAACCACACCTGTCGAGGACCAGCCCCAGCCACCCAATGAGGGCGCTAAGCCAACCACACCTGTCAAGGACCATCCCCAGCCACCCAATGAGGGCGCTCAGCCAACCACACCTGTCAAGGACCATCCCCAGCCATCCGACGAGCACGCTCAGCCAACCACACCTGTCGAGGACCATCCCGATGAGGGCGCTCAGCCAACCACACCTGTCGAGGACCAACTCCATGAAAAGAAGCCGACCGCACCTTTGGACCCATCCACTGCCCCAACCATCCCAGCCACACAGCCAGAAACCTTTCACAACCGAGACCTCCAAGAAGATCAGCCGACGCAGCAGGTGAACCCAGACACGCCCAAGCCGATTAACCCATCAGCCACAGCCGCGCCAACTGACACCCCCGTGATGCCCGAGACGCAGCAGGTGAAACAGAACATTGCCGAGCCAGCTGCCGCAACCAGGCCGGCGATGCCTGAGACACAGGTGAAAAACCCCGATCCTTCGCCAACTGCCTCATCATCTCCGACCGCACCAGCAGAGCCCAAGACGCACCATGTGGTCCAGGGCGCTGCAGAGCGACCGCCAGCTACCCCATCATCTGCAACCAAGCCGGCCACGCCCGAGCCGCATGATGTGAGCAACTCTGAGGTTCCAACGCAGCAGGCGAAAAACTCCGAGCACTTGCAGACTGCCTCGTCAACTACGACCGCACCAACTGCGGAGCCAGTGATGCCGGACGATCTGGAGAGTCATTTGTTCAGCGATGCCGGCTGTGGAGAGAGTGATTTGTTCAGCGATGCCGGCTTTGAATCTGCCCACGACGATGGCAAGGGCAGCAGCAGGGACAAGGCCAATTCCAAAAAGAGCAAGAAGGACAGGTTGGGGCACTCTTGAAAAACACGGAGGGAGGGTGTACCCAAACTGATCACTCGCTTTTCAGGCCCCTTCTTTTTGCAAATTGACCGACGGTTCATGAAACACTTTTTTTCAAACTGGAAACCAACGTGCTCAAATCTTTCCCTATTGGATCCCTTATTCACACGATAGGCGTGATCAGATGGTTTTCCAAATGGCTCCCTCAATTGTTCGCCGCATCCGAGGACAAGAAGGATAAGAAGGAGAAGGGTAAGAAGGAGAAGAAAGACAAGAAGGATCAGAAGGAGAAGAAGGAGAAGGAGAAGGATAAGAAGGAGAAGAAGGATAAGAAGGAGAAGGACAAGAAGGATACGGACAGAGACAAGGTCAAAGCTGATGCAGTGGACACACCCAACAAGCGTGCCAAGATCGATCTCGCCTCCTCCTTGGAGGCCGCCGCCGCTGCTGCCTCCCGGAAAGCAGCCACAGATGCTGCCAGGGTCCACGGTGAGGACGATGAAGACGATGCCACGCCTGGGCCGGATCTCACGCTTGCTGAGCTTGCTGGTTCGCTGCCGAAAGCAGCTGCGAAAAAGGCTGGTGCGAAGGCAAAGCCAAAGGCAAAGTCAAAGGCAAAGTCAAAGGCTAAGGCAGCCCCCAAAGCGGGCCCCAAGGCTGATGCATCCAAGATGCGTACCCTTACTTCCATGCTGGCGGCCACAGCGGTCAAGCCAGCGGTGTCCAAATCGACAGCGCCAAAGTGAGTGCCGAGCACTCGTGCGTGCGATTGCGGGCAATGATCGCACACTTGGCTCTTGCATGGGGCAAAAGACGCAGTTCTGAATTCAGTGAGCGTGGGTGTGTGCTTGAATGACGACAAAACCCATGGAGTCGGGCATGCTTGTATGTTTGCCTCTTCATGCGTCACACCCACAATGATCAAACAAGTTCGGCGCATTGACTCAGAAATGATTGATTCTTGAACCATGCGGCTTGCCAATTGGGTTTGCCATTCTGTTGCGCATGATGCCCATGTGCTTTAAAATTGCATTTGGATGTATTGAGCCATCCTGACACGGTTTAAACGGTTTAGTCCCTCTCAGCCCTCAGGCGCGGTAGACAATTTACATTGCCTTTTTCTCAGCATTGACCTTGCCCTCTTGGAGGTGAGCCATCCTGCCAAATTTGAGGCACTTGCGGACATATCGGGTTCATGTCGTCATCGTGAGCGGATCAGTGTATTTGCGCGGGGGCCCGCCCTTAGGTACAACCCGCCCCCCTTAAATACAACCCTGACCAGTTAATACTGAAAGTTAACATTTCCTTTGGGGCAAGCAACAAACATGTTTTTTAGCAGTCAGAGTCAGTCTGCTTTGGAAGAAACTTCCAATGATAGACAACGGCATGTTTAATCCTCCGCAACGGAAAAGCACGCCTACCCAAACATTCATTGCGTAGTGGAGATCATGCTCCGTGTGCTTTTCGACAGTCGCTCCAGGACTCCCCTTCCCCTGCGACTTGGAAAACTCCCCTGAGCCAGAAACTGGGGGGGATTGCAGCATCTCAGTAGTATTACGAGAAAGCCTACGTGAACCTGCTATGCGCAGCTCCCAGTGGTCACCAGGCAAGCGTAGCTGGTGAAAGTGGGAACAAGCCAAGCATCCACATGGTCAAATGAATAGGCTCTGGTGCAAACGCGTCCAGACTTGGGCTAGTCAAACATGAAACGTTGCGCCAGGAAAAGGACATCAGCCACTTCAAGGCCCAGCATGGCCAATCACTTGCTGAATGGCTTACCCCTAACACAACTCGAACTTGTGTTTGCCCCCCAAAACGGTCTTTCCAAACAAGTCAAACCACTCAAGAAGCGAGGCCATTGTGCATGTTAGCCCTTTGGCCGTTTGGATACCTCAGCCAGGGGCGGAGTTGTCCGTGGCGCCTGTCGCCAGCTTGCCAGCCTGGCACTCGAATTTGGGGAAGTTCCCCAGGAGCAAACCCCAGCAAATGCAGCCAACCACGGGTTAGAACTCACCAAGCAGGTTACTCTCAGAGCCCCTGCCCCAAAAGTTGAATTTGTTGCCTGCTGAGTGACACAAACACAAGTTTTCTCAAAATGCTGAAGGTAAAAACCCAGCCAAAAGCAGCCAAGAATGCTCAACGCATGTGCTCCTCCTCTGGCCCAGAGAAACGGGCAAAACCCCATGGAAGAAGGAGGAACATCCAAATTAGGATATGAATTCAATCTTAGTTATCAGCCTTAGTAGACATTTGCATGGGGATGCAGGTCCACCAACCAGGTTTGAGCGGTTTCGTCTCAACAATTGTCAAAATCCACAGTTGCCGTAAAGAACACGAAATTTCTTGCAGGTTGGGAGGGGGATTTAGCGAGTCCGCCCACTGTCCCTGCAATTGGACCATACAGTCATTTCTGCGAATTTGACATGGGATGTTCAGCCAGCTGGCTGTCCGGATGCTAGGAGGCCAGGGCCTCCCGGAACCTTACGCTGCTTACTGTTTCTTAAAATTCTGAGAACCTTCAGAACCTTTCCCAATGCGAGTGGAACCAATGCATTTAAGCTTCACGCAGAGATAAAAACTGTTGAAAGTGCACTGCATAACTCAGAGTACTCATCACGTTCTATACAATTTTGCTTGCACGTAAGGTAATCTCCCTTGCCCAAATGACCTGAACATAAAAGGTTAATTCTTTGGGCGAGCCAACACCGGAAATTGAAAAGCGCCAACAAGTTGACTTGCTTTGTTGCCCCTTTCACCATGCAACCGCCACATACTGAACAAACACCGGGAGCTCTGCTCTCATGGCGGGCTGCCTAGAAGGCAGCCAGGAAGCCGCGCACATGTGGCAGGGTCAAGACTCCTTATGCATGGCTACCATTGGTGGTCCAAAATCCCTATTGAGAGGTTCACGACCATGCCTGCCAACCCTAAATAAAGGATAAGAACAAAGAGTTCTGACCACACATGATCACACACGGGCAGTTTGAATGTTCAAACAACTCTCTGAATCCTTGGCTTGGCTCCGCATGATTTGAACTTTGACCTCTGCCCAAAGGACTTGGTTGCATCAAAGGTAATCACAATTTCGGACAACTCAAATTGGCTACCGAAAAGAAAGCAAGAGGTTGAACAACCCAGCGATTCACCTGGGATCTCTGGGCATGTTTCTCCTCTCTGGATTCGCTTAGAACTGAGTAACAGCTCCGAGTTTCAGTTTGAAGAGCCCTGACACCGTTTCACCTGTTAGCCTTCTGTGTAACCCTGGGGTCAGGAACCACAGGGAGAATGAAACTATGGAGATCTCCAGGGGTCACTCGAAATCCCTCCCCCAACCAGGGGATGCCGCACCTGGTTGCAATGCACGGCCTTCACGCAGCCCACATGGGGTGCATAGCCGAAGCGCTGGGCCTGGGTGTTTCTGCACATGGGGATGGGTTTCCTCCAAGGGGTAGTGGGTTTGCCCCACAACAAAGGGGGCAAGTCCTGTTTTCTTGTGCTTCACTCCCGTAAAGATAGAGCACAACAAATCCTTCATTCATTTGGTCTCTCTCAAAGACTACCAAAGCACTCCTGGAACCACAAACGGCTTTTCACTAATGGGGCGGGAACACAAGGCAGCAATTTCAAACCGCTAGTGGCCTGGGGGCACTACTTTGATCAGCCTCGATGCAAATTTGAGGTTTTTTTGGTTTGCGCCACATTGGCGGCTGCCCAACAGGGTCTTGCCTTGTTGCAAAGTCTTCCAGGATTTAATTAACATGACCTTTGTCATTTTGCGCTGCCTTAATAAAGGGGTGCCGGAACAAAAAGGTTCCACTTGTCAATCCGGCACCTGTGGCATCAACCTACAGACCACCGGTGCTTGCTAATTGCCTGCCTAGGTGCCCGACCCTTTTGAACAGACCCACCAATCTTTCGGCCAAAAACCAAAGTTGGAAACAGTAGGTGAATGAGTTACATTCCCGTTAAACAACACGACCCTTTTTGGAAGGCCACTTTCTTTTTGGAAAGAGTGTCTGCGTACTTCCCTGCTTGCTTGTGGGATGGTAGCCAAGTCTGCCTGCATCCTGGCTGCTGAAACATGTGCTGCTCTCACTGGCAAAAGGGCAGATGCCGGCTCGCGCGCGCGCCCAGGCAGCAAACACACATGGAACGTCAAGAAGCGTGGCAAACAGGATGCTCAGAGCATACGCATGTTGCCCTTTGGAAAACGCACGCACACACACACAATACCAAACCACAACTAAGTACGCATTTTGCCCGGAAAACAAGAAAAGGAACAAAAGAAACATAAACAGAAACATAAAGACAGCTAAAACAAACACCCAAATAAAACAAAACACACCCACAACTCGCCCCCGGAAGCCCCTCAGAAGCCGAACCCCATCCAGTCCGAAGCCAAGCAGGCCGCCGTCGTACCTGGCTCGATTCCGCATGGTGAAAGGGACACTAAAAGAGATCCAGCTGCAGGCCCTCCCCCCCCCCCATCAGGTCAGGGCACGACACGAAACATTAAGGGGGTTGACCCAAACGTTGCCCTCTGTCACCAAACTAAACGATACCTGTGTTCCCAAAAGGGACTCTACTTTTGAAAACAATCATGGTTTGGGGGGAGCAGTCACGACCCGCCATTTTGCCTGCATGTAAAATTATATCCGGACACTGAATTGATCCCGAGCCTCCAGTAGCCATGGGAAAAACGTGCACGCCTTTGGCAATTGATTGTAAAGTGAAGCTCTCTCCAAACAAAAAAAAGAGCGCTACCAAAGGTCTGGGTGTTTCCAGCAATTGATGCAGATCACCAGTGTTTGGCGTCCCTAACTTCGCAAACATCTTCCGCGTTCTCGGACGCTCGGTTCGGACATCCTTAATTCAAGGCACTCCCAGCAGGGGTCGCGCTCCAGTCGAAGCACATCTACATTGTATAAGTCAAGGAGCTTGGACAATCAACCATCCCTATTATTCTTTTGTTTGTTGTAACAAACAAAGCTCTTGCGGGGCAACGAACACTTGAACCTTAATTTCATGGGCACCCGCGCAAACGACAAAAACAACACAAACCGGGAATGAGCAACCCAAGGACCCCTCATGGGCCAGCTCTTTCTATGCAAGAATCGGTGAGCTCGACATACTCTGTGCAGAACCATCCCTGAGACTACGTCTTTCTTGAGAGCTGACCCCTATCGTCATGATTCCCTGAATGGGAATCCTTATCAGCAGTTTCATCCTAATCACCCCTGACCCTGACTGACCTGGAGTAGCCCGAAAAAAGTATTAGCTTGGCTTGTTTGGGCCTTTACTATCTGCACAGGTGAGCAACTGAAAGCCGACCCGAGTGCAGCTGGAGCACGTGCCCACAACCACCGTAGCATCAGCCTGGGCAAGCTATTCAAGTTTTGTCCACCGAGGGGGGACCCTCCTGAAAAACAAACACACACCTGCATAGGCCCCAGATAGCGAAAAACCAGGCCGATGACTGTACACCAGCACCTGTAACAGCACCGCCCGAAGAGCGCAAAACGCACCCCCAGAGCACCCGGCCGTCAACCTTGCAAAAATGCACCCAGCACCCCGAACCCCCTAGCACCCTGCCGTCAATCTCGCAAGAAATGCGCGCGTGCCGTCATCAGGCCCACCAAAACAGCACCTGCGCCAGCACCCAAACTGCCTGTCCCCCAGAACCTCTGCCGTCAATTTCGCAAGCCCGCGCCCGCGCCCGGCCCGCGCCCCCACCCCCCTCCCCCAACTTCACCTGCAAATTGCATGCTCCCTAGCACCCTGCCGTCAATGTTGCAAAAATGTGCCCGCCCCGTCACCAGCACCCCCAAGGAGCACCAGCACCAGCACCCAAGCTGCATGCCCTAGCACCCTGCTGTCATATTTGCAAAAATGCGCCCGCACACATCAATCAGCGCCCCAAACAGCACCTGCACCAGCACCAGCACCACAGACTGCATGCCCCCTGGCACCCAGCCGTCAATCTCGCAAATCACTTTCCCCTCTTTATTAGAAGTTAGAACCCCTACGTATAGCTTTCAGCTATCTGGGGAAAGAGTTTCCCCAACAAAAACCGACACCCGCAGCAATTACACCGCACCCCTTCAGCTTGCTTCAAAAACATCATCCACACAAAGACTCCGCAAAGGCTCTCCTTGCTATGCTCTGGATCAGTGGATCAGTGGTGAATATACCGATATACCCTTTTTGCAAGACTTATGTGGACAGGAGGGGGGGGGTCCGAAGACCCCCATCCACTTAAGAAGGCGTCCCCTTGATGGAAAGAGAGTAACGACCTCTAGGGGGGATAAATTGTCGATCCCCAAGCCTTCGAACCCCGCGGCATCGCCCGTGCCGGCGCCACCTTGTGATGTCGTCATTGGCTCTTTTTCTTGCTAGCCCTTTAGTGGACGACTGGACAACAAATCGGGAAAGGGGGTGAATGGTCTGAACTGGGAGGGAGTCTTCCGCCAGCTCGTTGCTTCTGTCCCACACACATCCCATTTTGCAGCCGACGAGAATTTGCCAGCCTTCGATCTTCGGCATTCAAATTGGTGAACGTCAGACCTCCCCCAATGGGTTGACTTGCAGTTGGGATGGTCACAAACCAAACCTTGTGCGAGGCGGCTGGCCCTCCATCCGATATCTTCCAGCAGTGGACTGCAAATGTGTCAGCGACTCAATGATTTCGGTGCCTCTTGCGTTGTCTACAAAATGATGCTTCTACTTCCAACTGCTCCCAGGGGAAGGGAACGTACATCACCAGCTCACTTGCAACTTATCAATCCCTGGGGAGCTTGATTGGATGATCCACGAAAGCCGGAAAATATATATATATATATAATATATATATATATATAATATATATATATAAAACACTTAGAAAGGAAAGAACAGCGGCGCTGATACTATCCACCTAAGCATCCAAGGCAAAAGGGGGCCTGATGGAAAGGCCAGATTGGCTACCCTCTGATCATGGAACTGGACAGGGGTCTTTCCCTAAAAAGTATCCATGCTTGTTGGAAGGGACACAAGTTGAGGAGCCCACGCTGTTAAGGGCTGCGCCCGTTCAAGCAATTCGGAGAGCCTGCATAGAAAACTGCGCGCCTCGCTCTGCTTTTGCTTCCTGGCAGCAGCCGGAAAAAAACCATCGGGAATGAGAACCTTGGATTGACAAATTCCTTGGTGAAGGAGGGGGCGTCTTATCACAAGGGAGTGCCAATTAAGGCAATGAGATCCCCTTGTGCCGATTTTTTGAGCATGCAAAGTTGATAAGATTGCCTTGTGTTCATCAAAGTTGGCCAAGGATGAAAACCCCTGAATCGGACAATACCCCTTTTAATCAACCAGGCTGTGTCGATTGGACACCTAGTTGTGTCAGTGCCTTTGGTTGATTTACAGGGGTGCCCCATTTCAGTCAGAAGGCTCCTCTTTGGGGAAAAGGCCCTCTGTCCCGTTCTTTTGATGATTATTCATTATGCACTCCCTGAAGTTCCTTCATGATCGGCATCGGTCGCCACCCTCGGTGACGTCCGGCATCGCATCACCCCCCCCCCCCCCCTCAATTCGCGAACCAGCCAATCCTGCTCAGGAGCCAAGGGTAAAACTGGCGTTTATAGTTTATTCGAACAGCCACGGCAAGTTTATCAATACTGAGCCAGGCTTACCCAACCTTCTTGCCAATGTTTGCCACGGTTGCTCCTTTGGCCCTCTCCAATATAGATGATCAAACACTTTGAGATGGTTTCTCTTTTGTGAAACAATATAAAGCTGAGCCCACGTTTGCCCTGCCTCCAAAAGGTGATCAAAAAAGCCTGAGGGTTTGGTTTTCATTAAAACGGGCCTGCCACGTTTGACCCTTCCGCTAGTGTCAAGCCCTTCTGGGCTTCAAATTTGGGGATCCAGTCTGCTGAAGGAGTTTGGGTGAACCAAAGGGGAACCCCTGAACCTCTTCTGACCCAAAGCACAGGCAGCATTTGGATGTCTGTTCAACTTGTTTGAAGGTGCCAGTTCTCGTTGACTTTAAGGGAAACCTAAGGGGAACTGAGCTTCCCCATTTATAGAAAACCGCATTTCAGGCAGTGTGTTGTTGGCAAGCTTGTTCTTGAAAAAACTGACCTGGTAGGGATGTTGTTTGGGCTCAATACAGCTGATGCGTCTCGCCGATTTAAATGCCTTGGCTCTGAATCCTTTGATCCGAATCAGGATTTGATCCTTGACACCCAACTCCAGGCTGCTTGATGGCTAAACCCACATCCTAGGGTCAGCGCTAGCAAGTTTAGTCCCTGGCGATGTGTGTGTGTGTGTGATTTAGCTGAACACGTCCGGCTCAGGATGTTCGCAATCAATGAGTTGAGGCAGTTCTTGGGCGTGGCTCTGTTGCGGGCCCACAACAGCCAACTGTCTTGGGTTGCTCACATAAGCTTCTCATATTCTATCATAGAAATTGGCTGTTTGGGAAGCCCCCAAGCATGGGATGCCTGTTCCGGTCCCAGATTGTCTGCCAACACATAAACGACACGCCAGCAGCACATGCCGCTGGCCAACGCTGCGACCGAATGGCGCTGCGATCTCCGCGGTTGCGTGCGTTCTGGCTATAGAAAGTTTGAACTTTCTGGCTCTAGACTAAACTGATACAGGAGCCTGGCAACAGAAAGTTTTGGAAATCAAACAGGTATGAGCAGGAAAGCCTCTCTTCGTGGACCAAGCAACAGTGCTGGCTAAGTTCCGCAGTTTCTGAGTGGAGTGCTTCCCTAAAATGTCTTCCCAACAAGTACCAGCACCGGGAAAACAAGGAGTGAAATTCTTCACTGCATCAGCTGTGGCTTTTGCGCGCTGCTGCAGCTGGTTTTCCGTCCTCTTTCATCTTGTTGTTTCTCAGCAGGGAACGTCCTTCAACTTTTGGGAATTAATCGTTTCGCGATCCCTTAAGGGAAACCACTTGTGGGATGGTTTATAGTAGTTTATAGGGGTCATTCCCTCATTCCCTGAGAAGAAAGTCATTGCTGCGTCCCCCGCTGCTGCCCTAAGCACGGAAGGCTCGAGCCGGGGCTTCTGGACTTCGGCAGGGCGAGACCCACAAAGGCTGCTCGTAGAACTCCAAAAAGCCAGCAGCACAAGTTTTTCTACAGTACCTCCCCCACCATATAAAAAAGAAGAAAGAAGACAACTCGGAAAAACACGGCCCCTCGCCACGCACTATCTTCCCCGCATCCACAAACGCAACCATTAATGGGGAAGGGTTCTTCCTTGGCCCCCGCTTCCGTAGTATATTAGGAGGGTGAGAGCAAGGTGTGCAAGGCCTTGCCTGTGCAAGGCATTCATGTGCAAATAAGTTTCGGCATTTTTGGCGTGCCATTTTGTGCCCGCCTTTCAAACAAGGCGCCGCTTTTTTGCCGCCCATGCGATCGGAAAGTGCTACCAGGAAGTGAAGCAAGTCACTTTCACCATATCATCCCAGCCAGCAGCAGGAATGGAAGGACTCCCAGCTGCAATCCTCGGATAATGGTTCTGACATGGTCAGCTTGTCAGCTTCGAACTGCGAACGAAGCGAGTTGTTTTGAAAATGGGAGCACCTACGTCGAGTAAGGACGAACACCTCTTTCGGATAGGACCGATTTCTTTTGTGGAGGGGTGCCGTGGACGTGACAATTTGAGTATACTGCGCAAGAACCCGAAGCAACCAATGCCCTTCGAGAAAGTGGTTGCAACATAGGGGAAGGGGGTCTGGTGCTACTCGGAGGCGAGAGGCTGCCGCCCGAAGAGCCCGGCTTCCGCACGTTGGCAGTGCACTGGCACAGCCCCGGCTTCAGCCTGCCCACTGGAGCCCCAGCTCCCTATTCACCCCCCCAAAAAAAGGTCGACAAGGTTTGGACAAGCCCCGGGCAATAGGATTTTAAGTAGCAACAGCGGCTTATTGATTTAAGCCCAAAAGAGCCATGATTAGTTGTGGGGGGGTTTCTGTTCTTGAGGGAGGGCTGGCCACCGAGGCGTGTCCCCTTTGTGAGCTTGAACATTGTCATTTCAAACCAATTTTAGTAAGACACATGCATTTTGGGGAAAGCAAATAGGGGCTGAGTATTGGCGCGTTTCAGCATTGATCGTGCGGGGAGGCCCAAAAATGATTGGGTAGCTATTTTTGGCAAACCTTGTTGGCCGGCTACTTTTGTTTTGGCCAGAAACTAAGGAACGCCAACGGGGGAGGGGGTTTGACAAATCGTGCCTTGCAGCAAGACCGCCAGGTTCGAAATCCATGGAAGTGGTGAAGCGGTTGGTACGGGTGTTTGTTTGCTTTTTCCCCACCCAAGCAATCGGTACGGCGGTTGTTGGATCTTAAGAGACATGCCCGCCGCCCAGCTGAGCGCAACCCCGCTTTGGGGTACTTTGAAAAGGGCCTCGTTTGGTAAGCCGTGTGTCCTTTGGGGTTTCAACGCCCAACCCAACTGGTCAAAACTTGGTTTTGGTGGAAAAAAAACGTTCTGTCTAGGTGTCCTTCAGGGCCAAGTGGACTTCCCTTTGCCCCATCATTTCCCGGTTTTAAGCCGACCCCTAAACATTTAACACTGACAGCCCTCAATGTCTAAAAACCCAAAAGCCAACTTACCAAAAGACGCCATGGCCCTTTTCCGGCTTCTTTAGAGTACTCCAATTGATTCTTGGAGCGGAATCCATCTTTTCGGCTTTCGACATCAACCGACTGTGGCTGACCTCTTGGGGAAGATATGAGCACCATAGAAGTCCTTGCACTGCTGCGCTTCGCCGCCAATGAAGGTGTCCTCCGGGCACTTGCACCTGGCACTCTTCTTGTCCTCGGTTGGGCATCATTTGCTTACCCCTGGTTGTCATGGAATGCGATCATCAGAGTCTCCTGATGTTCCCTGTTGACGCGGGGAGTATGCAAAGGGAAACCTAAAGGATTGAAGAATAGTGGCCGCATCGGCATCGGGGTAAGAAAAACTGTTATATATCTCCAAGACAGGGAAAACCAAAACCCAGCCTCCAAAAGCAACAAGACAGGGTCTTTCTAGGTTTCCCTTGAAACATCACAAAGTGATGTTGAACACTTAATGTTAGCTTCGGATGAATGCCATCCGGACCACGCTAGTCTTAGAAATTCTCTGAACATAGTATGTTTTCCTGTGAAACGTGGGGGATCACCCATGATTGGTATGGTCCTCCGAATGATTCCCACGTTTAGCACCTAGGTTGGACTCTTCAAACTGGGGGTTGTTCAAAATGTCACGTGAGGATCCTTCACCACGAAAAGTGAAACCATTACCATCTGGTATAAGGATTACACAAGCATTGCGTCATAGTAAATATTGCGTTTTCTTTAAGGTGGTTTACCCAAAACCAAATCAATAATCCAAAAGGCGGACATGCGCGGCCATATTTGACTGTCCATTGCTAACCTTCACTTACCAGAATCGGTTGTGATTGCGGCTCGATGGTTTCTGAACACAGGCAAAACGGCGCGCTTTGCACACCGCGTCTGCAAGCTCACTGCATACTGCTGCAAGGCGGCGATCTGTGTAGCTCCTTGGGCGATCTCCTCACAGTCGTGCTCTACCAGGTTCGATTGGTGGCAGTAGCACTCCTGCGCTTGGCTGTTTGTTGATGTGACCTGCTCAGTTGACTGAGTATGAGCCAAATTAGCTTTGTGGGATGGCCAAATCTCAAGCAGACACCTAACAATGTAAAGGATGACTTATGTTACGACTGCTCGCAACCGGACCTCGATCGAGCGGGCTTGAAGGCCCAGTAGCCGCGAGTGGAATACGTGGATATGTTTCTCCGCACAAAAAAAAACAAGCAAAAAGCAACTGCAGAACTGAGGGACAACTTCATGGCTGTGCAAGATGGTTGCCCCTGTCTGTGATATCGAAGCGGGATCCCATCCCCGCTACTGTACTTTACCACATCCAAGGGGACTTCACAAGGGTAACAGCAGCCTTGTGTCTCACAATAATCACCCCTCTCACCAAAAAGGACAAGGGAACGCAGCCACATACATGGCTGTTAGGTACAGGTTGAGGTTGATTATGCAGGTAGCAAGGGCTACTTAGTGCATATCGGTCAGCGCATGCACTTATGTGGAAAGCTTCCACCGGTGTGTCTAGCCTTGAAACATGCCCAGATGTGTGCCACAAGAGAAGCAGCTTGAAACCACAGACATAGACTGTCGCGAAACTAAACCTTGATGTTCACTTTGGATTAATCCAGAAGGCCACATTGATCAGATCAAAGGAGATGCCCGCAACAAAATAACATCCAAACCACGGGTTGCTTCATGGTAAACGTTTATCAATGTGGGTCACTAAATAAAGCCCCCCCCGTCCCACAAACAAAGTTTTGTTTGAACTTTGCTTGGGGATTCAATAGAGGAGACTCAATCAACGGCCTTTTGGAAGGTGACGTTTCTCGAAACTGAAAAAGATGACCTGTGACACCTCAGAACGAGATGGAGCCAACCGCTTGTTTGAGTTTGTCCGTTTGGGCTTCCATTTTACACACCCCTGAAAACGATAGCCCGCGAAAGACGCGACGCATTGAATCATGCCGCCACAATGTGCGTAAGCCGTGGCTTCCCTTAGGCGTCCAGGACCTGCTTCAAAGCCAATTTGGTCTAAAACGGGTCAAAACCAAGGGACTCCCAGAAATGCTTGGTTGTCTCTTGATTCAAATCGAGAATCCCAAAAGAGTACCAGACCTACTCAGTCACGGAAACTTCTTGGACCTTTACTCAACTCAACTGGAGATCCAACAACGAATACAAAGTCTTCCAACTGGATAATAAGGTCACATACAGAGGCAATTAGATCAGATTGTGGTTCCTCTTTTGTGAAAAAATAGTGGACCACAGAAATGGACTGGCTGCCTCGAGGATTTTCCTTGTTTAAAGCTTGCCAATTTTCTCGGCTGGGCCTGCGGTCTCAGCGTGTTTGGGAAGTGGCGCTCTCCGATGAAGAGGGCGCACTCTTCCGACTGCGGAACGCAGGGCTTTGTCTTTTGACACTCAATCGGGTCGACCGCGAATCTATGGAGCCATCTACCCCAGAATCAAACAGCTGGATTAGCGTGTTTTGGGGTCGGGCAAGACAGAGAGAGCACGCAACACTGATGTTCCTGGCTTCTTTCTAGTGGACTTCTGTCTGCTTGAAAGGGACATTTGAAAGAACACAAAGGCGGAAGTGACACCAAGTATGGCCCCCCCGTTTACCGCAGGTTTGGCAGTGCATTTCTAGAGACTTCTGGCTTTGTGAGTGCATTGGCATCGTTCTCAGAAACCAGCAACTGTTTCTCTGATTCTTTTGTGGGTGGCTTTCTGGAAAGGATCTCTGAAAGGATCTCTTGGTTCATGGTTCAAAGCCGCCGCTCCAAAACCTTGGGGAGTGAGACTTTCTCAATTTCAGGCTGCAGGACTTGGATGCCTGGGCCTCTTTCTTGCCTCGCAACGGGCTTGGCTAAAATGAAGACAGCGCCCAGCCTATTGCCCTTTACATGGCGAGTCAAAGGAAAGCAAACCCACAACGCAATTTTCAAACCCCTGCTCACTTCCAGGTGGCCCGAAGAAGTCTGCTTTTTACATTTACTACTAAACTGGTCTTCACAGCAAGTTTAAAAGTGCAGAAATTCATTTGAGGCCGCAATGGCTAGGCCACCAGATCCAAATCCATCGCCCAAGCCTTCCCCTCCAGGACAGAGTCCTTGTCCGCGCACTTGCACGGCCTTCAGTGTGAAAACTCAATGTTCAGCCTGTGTTTGGCGAGTGGTGTAAGAGCCTACACAAATGTGAAAGGGGCTGCCGGGTTATGTGAAACCAAATGTGTCATGATCATAGGAGCAAGACGTTAGGAGCTTGGCCACTCTGAATTGACTGTAACCCTACTGACCCACCCCTGTTGCCTCACTTGCCATGGCTACATTAATATATATATATATATATATACATACAGTATTATATACATAGAGACAGCGTCAAAATTACTTGTCTGGGGTGTATTCATTCGGTGTTAGGACGTCCCGTATCGTTTTACAGGTTTTCCTTAAAGAGGACGTCCCGTATCGTTTTGCAGGCCGTGGCTACGGGACACATCTTTGCGGGGTTAGCGCCACGTAACAGCAACGAAATGGAAGCTCTCACAAGCGGGCGTTCCGCGGTATCAAACCACACGGCGGCGAAAGAGCAATCCCTGCAAGCATAGCCAATCACACCACGGGCCGCAGATTCCTTTTAGTCTCCCTCAGAGCTTGAGTTGAAGATCGAGGAGCAGGAACTTGCGCTTGACAACAGAGTCCTCCTCCAACGGCTGTTGCGACGCTGCTTTTGCCTAGTTTTGCGCCTTCTCCATCAGCGCTCCCTTCTTGCTGGGTCTGCCACGCTTTCTCTCATCGTTGCCTCCCTCAAGTCCTGCCTTTGTCCAGCGAGTGCGCCCCATACTAAATCCCAGTCTGAAGGCAGTTTCAGGCGTGCCAGCAAACTCACGCGCTGTTGCGTCAATGTAGTCCCTCACCCGCTTGGCTGCTGGAGCTGGGTTGTTCGCTTCAAACCCAAGGCACACGTGCAGCCGCTTGAGGAGAAAGGACGAGGCTGCGCCCAAAGATGCTTGTCACGCCCCCACGGCGCCGCCGGCGCTGGAGCCGAGAGGCCGGCTTCGTCACCGTGGTGGTCTTCTTCACCTTCTTGCGGGCACTCTTCGCAATCACCTTGGCAATTTCTTGCGGCGTTTCCGCGCTCTTCGGCTCAGCCTTTGGAGCCGAGGCAGCTCTCTCTATGCAAGCACGCTGCCCCTCCTGGGTCAAAGCTTCCCACTTCTCCTTCCGCACGCACTCCTCAACCCATCATGCTTCTCCTTTGAGGCTGCCTGGCAACTCCTGGCATTGCAGTCCTTACCCTCTCCAGCATTGCAGTTCTTTCCCAAGCCACCCCCAAATGTGTGTCTCCTCGTAACTGAAGGGGTAGCGTTTGGGTGTCAAACGGGCCACCCCCTACATTTCGCCTCCTGGCCCATTGCGAGGGTATCGTCGGGGTATCGTTTTGGGGTATCGTTTTTGGTGGCCGTTTTTTTCCTGGAAAGCGGCGCTGTTTGACAACTGCCTTACTTCCCCTCTAAGGAGCCTGGAGCGTGCAAAATGCAGTCCTGCAGTTTGTTTGCGGCCGAAGACAGGTGACCTCCCAAACACCTTGCTTGGCCAGCAAGAGGGCAAGACAGCGGGACATCCTCAGAATACATAGCTGCCGTCTTGGTTTCCGTCTATGGTTGCTTCATCCCCCAGCTCTCGCGCTTTCCAGCTTTTTTCGTAGCTTTTTCACGCGGAGCATCTAGTCTTAAAGATCACGCGCAAATGCACGCGTTCTTCGAAAGAGCTCGCTCAATTAGTTCCAGTGTTGCGCAAGTCTCTTCTAAACTTCCTTGACCAAACGGAGAACTGCAGTTACACCCCTTCTAAACTTCCTTGACTGAACGGGGAACTACAGTTACATCCCCTTCAAAAACGAAAACAATAGAAGAAAGACTTTTGCCCAACTACAACTCGTAATGCTTCTTCCTGGCCGGCAGCTACCCTGGACACATGCTAGAAACATTCGCCCCGTTCAATCACAGCTTGTTTTTTTTTTTCAGCTGGTGCTCCAAATGTGAAGTTCCCTTTTGCTTGCAATGGAAGGGCCTAGTTGCAAGTCCCGACCAAGCAACCAAACACATGCTCTAGGAGAACACACAAACTGACAAGACATTTTTGTTTGCAACCAATGCCAACTTGCTGAAGGGGTATCGTTTTTTTGGACGTCCCGTATCGTTTTTGGAGCAAAAACGAAAAAACAATACGTGCATGAAACACCCCCATATAAAGTACATGACGGTAATTTTGCTGCTAACTCTATAACCTAAGTCCACTAAGCCATTGTGGGAAAGGGTGTCTTTTTCGGGGTTCGGGTCAACAGGCCTCCTATGTACCGTGTTCCTCTAAACAAAACCCTTTAAAGGGAGCTCAATGTAAGATAGCTAAAGAGTGATGCTCAAATCCTCCCCAAAAGAGACTCCTCACTAACCAGCTGAGTTTGTAATCTTCTTGAGGCTCGGAGCAATCCTAGATTGCCCGAGGTGAAAGGCAAGTTGCCCTTTGGGGGACATCATCTACATGGGATTTATTCTCACAGCAAGTATCAGAGTTCAAATCACACACGGTCATACAACTCATGCAGTACCAATTCATTGGTTCTCGAAACACCTTGTAGCAGCTGAGTGATGAGATTAGGAAGAGACTAGGAATCGAGGAGCAACTGGGGAGGATGTCGTCCTGGCTTGGCTTCCATTTCAAACCATCCTCACTTGAGTGTGAGCTTCAATCAGGGGCCCTTTGGTGGACATGGTTTACGCGCGGAATTGCGCGGAATTGTGTCCATTAATCATTTGGGAGACGTTTCCCCATTGAAACTCACAGGCACTTCTTGATGGTGGCTCTTGCAGAAAGGCAAGGCACTCTGACATTTGCAATTCATCACCCACTGCTTACTCCGGAAACTCTTTGGATAACCATGGCTAACCCAAGTGAATTGGCTAAAAAAGACCAAACATTTGAATTGCCACTAATGGTCCTCTCAAAAAGTACGAAGCCAAGGAACTCAGGGAGCAAGTTGGTTGTTCAACTGCGGATTTAACGAGTTGTTGCCCTATTTTAGCCCCAAAGCAGGGAAGCGAGCTCCCACCACTAAGAAAACCCGCGAAAACGCCATGCCTGTCCGGGTTCTTGCTGTGAGAGTTTCGCTCCACTGCACCTGCTGCTCAGGATGTACTCTCGAATATAACGGTTCCTTCCCCCGACAAACACTGAATTTGGCTTCTTTTGGTTGGTGTCGTAGGGACATGCAAGACTGGAAAACCGGGATACCCTCGCACAAGCAGCAAACATGGCTTGGTGCAGTGATGCTTTTGGAAGACTATTGACCCCTCTTAGAAAGAGGGTTCCTGCGCACTTCCACGTTTGGTGGCGAAAGGGTAGCTTTTGGCCGTTTTACTTCACTGAAAGAAGGGGTGGGTCCCTTTGTTCCCCTACCGGTACAAAGCAAACCTGCGGGCTCGTGAGTAGTGGGTACAGAAATGAAATTCCCACAACGACATTGGAAGGCGCCGAGATTTAGCCGCAGTTCCAAAGACCTGGTTGGACTTCAAGTGTGTTTGGGAGCCCCACTTGGATGTTCAATCTACTCAGTGAGTACGTAGAAGGGAATCACCCCAGCCACCGCACGTGCAACCATGGTCAAAGCCTTGAGTCACAGCCAAGACCTGAGATTCAAGTGGTCTACCCCAAGCCATATCCGCACCTATGGTTGGGATGGTCCCTTACTCATCTCAGACTACTTCATCGATATTGATTGTTGCTGGTACACGACCAAAAGACTTGGACAGGTTAACCATGCCATGACAGCAGCTTTGCTTTGCTTTCCAAATGGGGGACCATCAGAACGATACGGCAAAATATGAGAAAAAAACCCAAAAATGTGAAGGTGTTCCTTTACCCTCTCTGAACAAAACAGCCCCTAGTCACTTCCTGAGTGAGGCAGACCCATTTGCCCCTAGTCACTTCCTGAGTGGATTGGCCAAGCCAGTCGAAACCTGTTGCTTGCCACTAACACGGTCGCGCCAAGAAGTATAACGCCTAGGCAAGAACTCTGGTAGTGGGCCAAAAGGGACCATAAGAACGATGGTCACCCAACGGATTAACACCATGCATCACCATGCCGATTGCTGGGCAAGATACGTTTAACTCGCTACTTAACCAATACCCTCGGAAAATCTCACAAGTCACATACCAGAGCTAAGTCATGTCCATCGTAGCGGACCTTCATCATCGGTGAACTGCCTCGTTTGAACTGAAAAATAGGTAAGCCGCTCCATTGTGCGCAAATAGATAAGTGCACGTCCTTCTCTCAAGCAGATCTGCTCAGTTGACTGGCTTCGTTCACATCGGGGAAACCAGTTACAACAAAGAAGTTTAACGCTTGCCAACTGAACGAGTAAGCGAGTAAGCGAGTAAGCACAAGAATGCTGCACTGTTGCGAACCTCGAGGCTTTGTGCCATGAGGGTATCCAAAGTCTCCGGGCTTTGGCGGCGGATGACCCTTTTAGAATGCAATACCTCTAAGATCACCCTGAATTATCCAAAGGAAAATTGGGGGGTCTATACTTTTTTTTTGGAAAGTTGGCAGAGGGGTGATGGGAGGGGCGTTGGAATCCTATGACACCAGAAAATTTACAAGTTTAGGAGGCCCATGCGTTCTTCTCATAAGCCAAGAGGCTTGACCAATATCTAAGCCATGAGACGCAAGGCCGTATTTCATTTGTTCTGGCTGGCCTGCATTGATTCATCACTCACATGCTAAGTCCTTTTCCTTCGCATGCCACATTGTGAGGAAGTGTGTGCCACGCATAATATACATATAGTATACGGAGATTCATTCACATGTTCCGAGCGTATCCTTGTTGATTATTGTTGCCTTAGTTTGAGGGGCAGTCAAAGCAATGACAACGCCATATCCCCCATGACTCGAAAGGGGACAATGACTTTAGATAGGCCTTTCCAAAGTAGGAATGAACAAAACTCGTGGGCATGGTCATTGTTCCCTTTGGCACCCTTCTGGGTTGCCTAAACTCCGCACGGGGTTCGTGACATCATGAAGTCCCCACCAACCCCTAAGACTACTAAATCAAGTACTTGTTTCTTAAAGAGGACATGGGAAAAGTGCGGGGAACCCCTGGTGCTTGGGCGAAATTCAGGGAGTCCCCCATTCCCCTCAAACAAACCAGGATATTTTGACCAATGCACACGTGTGTCCTCCCTCCCCCCATTCCTCCGTCCCAGCCTTGCGCCATGCTTTCACATTTGGTGGTGGGCTGGCCTCGCGGACAAATCATGAAAGATCTGGGCCCCTTTGGATTTTGGTTGGAAAGCAGGGGGGATCCTTCCTCTAAAGAAGGCTACAACATTTAAGCGGGGATTTCCTATCTGATGGAGGAAACGGTATCTCCATCGCTTGTTCTCGTGCATACACCATCTGATGTGTTCAATGTTGCACGTTAGAGGATCGTCCTACCTTCTCAAAATTTCTAAAGAATAATATCAAATAGTAGTAAGCTGTAACAACAACCACTATAGTAAATATAAAAAGAACAACAAATAAATCTAACTAATAACCAACAAACCGAGAAACCCTAAGCAACGAACCACGAAGCACGACAGACCAAACAACAAACAGTAGAGAACAAACAACAAAATGAAGAAAAAGAAACAACACACAAAAATTCAGAACAAAATGTTAGTGACCAATAACAACTAATAAATAAATAACATAATGATTACCTATTTAATTACTACTACAACCAACCATCACTACTACTACTACTAATAATACTACTACAAAAACAACAATAATAACAGAAACGTAAGTATATAAGTGTTAGCCATAAATGTTATACGCCATAGTATGCAATGCATTACTGTAATAATAATTATTATATTAATAACCACGGGCCACGGCATACAATTATAATAATAATAATAATAATAATAATAAATTAATAACTAATAAAATAATAACTAATA